TTCCTTGGCCTAAATATTCGAATTTATGGTAGAAATTACATGTAAATTGTAGAAAATTCATTAAAAACGGGTCAGGCTAGGGCTTGGAAAGCTGTGATGTAAAAATGGAATTTGGAGGGTCAAACGAGCTCCGATTTTGGTAAACTTTATATGCACGGACTTGTGGCGAGACGAGGAATCCTTTGAGTGATTTTCGGAATTTTTCGAGAAGTGGGCCTGGGGTTCGGGTTTTACCAACTTCGTGAATTTTAGTACTTTTCGAGTAATTTTGATTGGGTTATGTTTCTTTAACCCATATTTATGTATTCGTTGTGATTTTGACTAGATTCGACGCGCGAGGAGGTCGATACGAAGAAAAGGCATTGCGGACCAGTTCTACGGCCGGAGTAGAGGTGAGTAGTTGGTGTATACGATGGCCTGAGGGTTTGAAACCCCGGCTTACCACATTGTGACGCTATTGTAGGGCGTGACTCGCACCCCATGGCAGGTGCAGGATTAGTTATGACTGGGGATTGAGACTTAGTCCATCCCGAGCAAGAATGTTTCTATATTGGCGACTGATACGCACCCTGTATTGAATATATCTGGGCTTATTGCCGTGTTTGGGGCCTTGTGCCGATCTGTAGCATGCTTAGAGGATGAATGTCATTGTGATAGCATGCTTTGTATAATCATTGATCTCAGTCCTGTGTTTAATCACTGTTATGAAACACTAAGTCACTTTTCCTGAAGTTAAATATCTAAAGTATATTCTTCTTAATAAATTGGAAATTGGGAAATTAATTGAATCTGTTACGTGACTCATATGCATATTGTGGACTGAGTATGGATCGGGCTGCACGCTGCAGCGAATCGTATGATTATTTGCGCTTGGGCTGAAGGAGCCCCTCCGGAGTCTGTACACACCCCCAGTGAGCGCTGTCGACGTTAAATGGATCGGGCTACGCGCCGTAGCGGTCATGTGCATTGCATTGCATCTTTCTTCAAGACTTCCCTTCTCCCGCGATTGAAGTTTCCGAAGCTGAAGCTACCGGAGTTCATGTTCCCGTGAGTGAAGTTCCCTTAACTGAAACTTCTGCGGTTGAAGTCCCCATGACCGCTGGAATTGCCTCGGGTGATGCACCCTCTTCAAGCTCAATCGTACCCCTTATTGCAAGTCAAGTTGAAACTTCATCTATTGATACTCCAATAGTTGGAAATCAACCCACTTCCGTTGGTGATGCTGTTCCAGTTGAGCCCGCTGATGATCCTTCTTCAATCATTTCCTCTCAGTGAAAAAAATTTATATCTATTTTTGAATTCCTTTTGCAGGTACCTATTTGGAAAACAGTATTTAAAGCTTTTGGGTTCATTTGAGAGTTTTTTGTAATCAAACCCTTGGCTACTACTTGAGGGTTGATTTTTAGAAGTACAAGTCCGCAAGTCTTGTTATGGGGCATTTTGTATAAACAATTCGATGACTAAGTTTATACTTAGTCTTTAGTTTTAAATATTAGGAAGCTTTTATTTATCATTGCACTTCCGTATGTTCTATCCTTGCCTTTTTATTTTTAAGGACTTAAAGAATAGTCTGCATTTTTGTTCTTTGAAAAATGCTTCTGTTAATCCCATGACTAAATAACATGAGTTTTATAAAAGAGGGCCCTTTTATATTTTGACACTTAATGAAGAAGACGTCTCAACTTCATAATGGTGTGATCATACGATAAAAGAAATAGGAACACACATGTTTTTTGCAATAACTTCAAGAAATTTTTACTTCTGGACTTTGACAAGTTTTGTATAATACTTTACATGTGCTTGAATTACATCTATAACTTTCTCGTAACTGTTTTTTCTTGTAACAGATTTTTTGTTTAAAATAATAAGTACGAGGTTTTTCTTTATAACCCGTTTTAGAACAATAAATGCAAGGTTTTTCTTTACAACCTGCTTTAGTACACAGCTTTTACCCTAATTACAGTAAAGATTTCTTTAGCCTTGGCTCACGACTTCATTTGACTTTTATTACTCTGCACTTGACTTTTTCCCAGGCTTGATTTTTCTTCAATCTTCTTTGCCCTCTTTATATATACTTGTGTATATTATGTAGTCCCCCAAGCGTTTGAGTGTTGAAGTATGAAGCCTCTAGCACTTGATAGCTTCCCTCATTCGGTCCTTTTCCTGAAAAGGAAATACATACGGGACTCAGAGGTACGATTATAGATGAAGACTGCTTAACCCATTTAAATTTTTATCAGAATAATTGCAACTCTGGGCCAGGAATTTTAGTTTATTCCATTTCGCCTTACAGGTCGTGACTCATCATTTAGTATGGGTTAGCGTTTTGCCTATCATCTAAAATCGTTAGTAAAATTTTAACAATTCAAAAACAAATATATTTTAACATGGTGATACCTGACCGTGGGTTTTTCCTTAGAAGTAATATCTCTTCAAATGAATTGCATTCCAGTGCGAAGGAAGCACCTTCCCGTCCATTGTTTCCAACTCGTATGCTCCTTTTCCTGCAATATCTCGAACTCTGTAGGGTCCTTCCCGGGTAGGACTTAGTTTACCCGCGTTGGCCACCTTTGTAAATTGAAAAACTTTTTTAAGCACGAAGTCCCCAGTTTTGAAGTATCGCAGTCGTGCTTTTCTGTTGTAATATCGTTCGATCACTTGCTTTTGTGCTGCCATTCTTATTAATGCGGCTTCTCTCTTGCCTTCCAGTAGATCCAAATTGACCCGCATCTCTTCATCATTAGATTCTTGTGTTGCTTGTGAGAATCTTGTACTCGGCTCTCCTATTTCAACTGGGATTAATGCTTCAGCTCCATAAACTAAAGAGAAAGGAGTTTCACCTGTGCTCGTCTTTGTTGTCGTGCGATATGCCCATAAAACTCCGGGTAACACTTCAGGCCAATTACCTTTTGATTCCTCTAAACGTTTCTTCAAATTGTTGATTATGACTTTGTTCGTTGATTCTGCTTGCCCATTGCCTACTGGGTGATAAGGTGTAGATGTGATTCTCTTAATTTTTTAGCTCTCAAAAAACTCAGTGACTTGAGCTCCGATAAATTGAGGGCCATTGTCACATACAATCTCTTTTGGTATACCAAATCGGCAGATGATATTACGCCAAAAGAAGTCTTTGACCTCCTTTTCTCGTACCTGTTTGAATGCTCCTGCTTCTACCCATTTAGTGAAGTAATCAGTAAGCACTAGCAAAAATTTTACCTGACCTTTTGCTTGTGGTAATGGTCCCACGATATCCATTCTCCACTTCATGAATGGCCATGGTGACATGACAGCATGTAATAACTCCGTAGATCTATGCATGTTGTTACCGTACCTTTGACATTTATCACATTTAGCTACAAAGCTTTCCGCTTCTTCCTCCATTTAGGCCAGTAATATCCTGCTCTAATCGAAGTTTTTACTAGTGATCTTCCTCCTGTGTGATTTCCGCAATGCCCTTCATGTATCTCCCTCATTACATACTCCGTTTGAGAAGGTCCGAGGCATCTTGCTAATGGACCACCGAACATCTTACGATAAAGATTCCCTTATTTTAAACAGTAACGAGCAGCCTTTCTTCAAAGTGCATGCGCTTGTTTCTTGTCACTAGGGACGATTCCATACTTTAAAAATGCAATAATTTCGTTTCTCCAATCCCAAATTAAATTATTAATTTTACCTCATTCTTATCTTGATAGAGAACTGAATGAAATAAATGTATAATTGCGGCATTTGCATCTTTTGCTATATCAGCTGCGGATGCGAGATTAGCTAAGGCATCTGCTTCAACATTTTCATCCCTCGATATCTGTATGACCTTCCAAGTTTGGAATTGCTTTATCAGTTCCCATATCTTTTCCAAGTACTGTTGCATCCTTGCTTCCCTAGCTGTGTAAGTCCCCAGCATTTGATTAACCACGAGCTGCGAGTCACTTTTGATCACTACTTGATTTATACCAAGTTCTCGTGCCAATTTCAAACCTGCAATCACCGCTTCATACTCCGCTTCATTGTTAGTTACGGAATGACTTTTAATGGCTTGCCTAATAGTTTCACCCGTAGGTGGTACTAAAACAATTCCTAATCCTGCACCTTTTACGTTAGATGAGCCATTAGTAAATAAGGTCCATGTTCCAGGATTAGCCCCTGTGAGCACGTGATTTTTGCCCTAAGTGAATTATTCCCAAAAATTCAAACAAAAGGATTTTTTTTCTTTATTTTTACAATTTTTGTGAATTTTTGTGTTATTTTCTAATAATTGTTGCATTTTATGTGTGCATTTTTATTCATATGAAAACATAAAAATAAGCTTGACATTTGCATTTAGGATCTAATTTCATATTTTAGGATCAATTAGCGGTTAAGTGGATTTAGAACAAAATATGAAGAAAATAACAAAAATAGTCTACTTTTGCATCTTTAATTGTTAATTGTTGAATTTGTCACGAAATAGATTTTTAAACAATTTTAGGAATTAATTAGCTTAACCTTGAAAATATATTAGGTCTTTACTTTAATTTTTGCATTTTTTATGAAATCAAAAAAATCCAAAAATACCAAAATGAAAACAAAAATAAATAAAAAAGAAGGAGAAAGCAATTAAAATAGGTGGTCTTAATAATAAACCAATTTGGGCCATTTAATTGAATTACCTAGCCCAAAAATCATCCCTGCCCCAAACCCATCTCACCAAACCCGGCCTGCCCTTCGCTGTAATGAAACGACCCGTATTGAATCCCAGTAGATCCTAGCCGTCTATGTTAAGTTGATCCAACGGCTAGGAAGCCTAGGATCGTTTGATATTAAATGGTCGGAGCCTCCCCCCCCCACCCCTCCCGTATCATCGTCTCCATTTCCCAAATCAGACCTGTGTAATGCCACCTTGAGCCGCCGGCCGAAAATCGCCTCCGCCGGCGGCGATGCTCCTTTCCCACCCAAAAATACACCATAGAACCCCCTCACCCTCCTCTTTCAAACCCCCAACGTAGTTTCACTCAAATTCCGGTCATAAGGTTCGAATCTTCAATCTAAGTTTTCCGGCCAGGACAACACTTTTCCCAAACTCGCCCAAATTAACACCCTAGGTCTCTTTCCCCTTCCCCTATCCAAATCCCTGTCTACTTTCCCTCAAATCTGCCCAGAATGTCTCGAATAATTAATCAAAGGTTGGCCGGAAACCCTAATTTCTCTAGAATTTACCAAATTGGTAGTACACAGTCTCCCAATCCTCCTTGTGAAGAATCTACCCCTGGCAAGTTTCAAATATCACCAAGACCGCTCAAATTTTGAATCAAAGAAGTGGTATGAATGTTCGAGTCAAGCCGTGAGTCTTCGTTTTCGTCTTTTCATGTTCCTTCTTCTTCTTCTAACTGAGACAATGAATACCTCTCATAATTTTTTTGATTAGTGTTGCTTTGTTTAATTTCAGTACTGATTTGATTTTCTTTAGTTTAGTTTAATTTTGGTTTGATTGTTGTTTTGTTCTGTTAGTTTAAATGTTAAATGTCAGTCTAATTAGTTCAAGCAATCAATTGTTAGTTTAATTAGATTTCCTGTTAATGTCGGTGTAATTGCTTTCTTCTGATGATAATAATCTGCTCGTTTGGTTGTAATTTGTTTGGGATTAGTTGAGGTTCTAATAATTGATTTTATGTTAGTTGTTAGTTTAATGGTTGATTGGTTAATCTTGTTTGATCGATGGTTTGGTAATATTGATGTTTAGAGTTGTTAAACTTGTTTGGTTATAGCTGAATAAGTCAGACTTTAGTTAGTCATGGGGTTTGGGTTTAGTTAACTAGTGGTAGTAAATTCAAGAGTATCCAGGGGGAATATGGGTTTTATCTGAAATAAAAGTAATGCTAGTATCTCCTAGAACTTTCTAGATAAGGATACAATTGGATTTTTAGGAAGTTTAAGGTGTTAGCTTGAGGAACAAGTTAGGAAATGAGGGAGCAATTAGCTAAAAGGTAAAATAAAAGAGAGGCTAAAGTGTTAAAACTGAAATCTAGGAGTTGCATATCACTTTGCCTATAAAAGGCAGTGTATGCTACCTTGAATAAGAAGTTTTCAGCTCCAAAAAATTCCCCCCAAAAGATGCTCTCTAAGTTTCAGATCTGATTTTGAAGTTCAACATTCAAAAATCCAAAAACAATAGAAAACCTCTAGAAAAACCAAAAAAATACTGTTCCATTAGATAATTCAGGTTAATTTTGACTTTTAGTTATCGATTTCCATTTTTCTAGTTCAATACTTGGATTCTGAAACTTCAAGTGTTCATT